TATATATATATATATATATATATATATATATATATATATATATATATATATATATATATATATATATATATATATATATATATATATATATATATATATATAACATAGTTTTTTTTGCAATTTATATGCAGCAATATGACAAACATTAAGACGCTTATTTAAAAAAAAATTTGAAAGATTATTTCTGAAAACAAAACAGTATTTACATAATTTCAGTAGTCTAGAAATTGTTTAATATGTAATTTATATATGTCTGAAATATGATAATAAATATGTTTTTTTTTTTTTTGCATTTTTGTTGTATAGAAAGTGCTTTCTTGATTTAATATTTTTTATAGATTTGTACCAAATTTTTTTCCCTCTTTTTTATTTCAGTATACTACCAAAATAAGCTATTAAATATGTTTTTTTTTTTTTTTACTTCAGACCCCCATACTAATAGCTAGGGTTCCCCAGCACTTAAACCGTGTGTATCTACAGTATGTATACCCAGTTGAAGCCCCCCTGTTTATTTTTTCCCCAATTTATGTTTAACAGAGAGCAGAATTTTTTCAGCACATTTCTAAACATAATAGTTTTAATAACTCATTTCTAATAACTGATTTGTTTTCTCTTTGCCATGATGACAGCACACAATATTTGACTAGATATTTAGGCAAGTTATGGTAATTAGGCAAGTTATTGTATAACGATGTTTTGTTCTGTAGACTTTTGAGAAAGTATATCTCAAATATGGCTTAAAGAGGCTAATAATTTTGTCCTTAAAATTGTTTTAAAAAAATGCTTTCCTTCTAGCCGAAATAAAACAAATAAGACTCTCTCCAGAAGAAAAAATATTATCAGACATACTGTGAACATTCCCTTGCTCTGCTAAACATCATTTGAAAATTATTAAAAGAGTGGGAAAAAATTAAGGGGCGGGGGATGGGGGGCTAATAATTCTGACTTAACTGTATTCCAAAATATGCTAGGTTTTTGCAACTTTATAGACCCTAAACCCACACATTTACACTGAAAAAATGCTTTCATTCATCCAATAAAAAGGGTAATGGTTTCACATCTAAATTAGAGCACTTGAGCCATTGAGAAATAAATCATTTGCCTTAATATTTAGTCCATGAAAGTACTAAGCATATTGAGCTTCTGTTTAATATGCGTGCACTGAGTAACCTTTAAATTTTACATAATTGAGTTTTTCATCAAAAACAGTTATATTTTTAGGATTTTTAGAGATTCAACATTATTATAAGACATATTTTTTCCTCTTTTGTATTTTAATGTATCACCAAAATATTCTAATTAATAGTAATAAATAAATATTTTATGTTTATAAATAATTTATAAATAAATAGGATTTTTTGCAACTTTATAGACCCTGAAACCCTCACACTTTCAACTTGGGATCCCCAGTACTTAAACTGTGTCTATCTACAGTAAATGTGTTCATAAATAACATCAAACATTATTTTATGCATCAATAAGACACCCATTAAGTCTTCTATAAACCGAAAACAGTTGTGTTTGAATGAGCTGGCATTTTGTGCTTGACATTTTATGTATTTATTAATTATTATACGTGTGGCTTTAAAGACCCCAGACTTACAGTATAGAATATTTCACTCTCTTTCTGAACAACCATCTACTATAATCTATACATGTTCTTCTAAAATGTTGATGATGTAGAGGGAATATGTTACGTGCCGACTATAACTCCTTACAGTCCCAGGACCCCAAAGTAAAAAAAAAAAAAGACTCGTACATTAAATATGAAATATTAAACTGACTGAACTGTTGAGCTCTGAACTTTTCATGCTAATCTTTGTGGCTAAATGTATATTTTAGCCAAATCTGAAAATGACGTCATCATTTAGTCAACATATCTGTAACCATTGACTTCCATAGTATTTGTTTTTGTTAGTATGGAAGTCAATGGTTTACAGTTTCTCACATTCTTTAAAGTATCTTCTTTTGTGTTTGACAGTATTTACTCACACTCATGCGATTCAAAAACCTTATGAGTTTCTTTCTTCTGAGTACATGCTCATTTATTTTGGGGTGAACTGCCCTTTTAAGGTTAGCTTTATCAACATGCATTTTTTTTGAAGAAGAAGAAGAAGAAGTGTGAATAATTCAATGGCATAGATTTATGCTAATGATTATGTGGTGGTTGCATTGATCTAGAGAAGTTCAGCCAAACATTGAAGAACAGAAACAGAATCCACAAAGTTCACACTGAAAATGTGTTTTTATTTTATTTAGAGGTTTCATTTAGTTTCTAATAACTAATATTATCAGAAAATTCTTCAATTAAGGAATTTTTTAGACAAGTGAAAGATTTTGTCTTGCTTTCAGAAAGATTTTGTCTTGCTTTTCTTTTTTTTTTTTACTTAAAACAAGACAAATAATCTGCCAATGGGGTAGAAGAAGTCAATTTGCTTTACGATTGTTTTGTTTACCCTCACTGGCCACTTTATTAGGTACACCTTACTGGTTCCAGCTCAGACTCTCTTTTGCCTTCAGAACTGCCTTCATGGCATAGATTCAACAAGCTACTGGAAATATTCCTCAGAGATTGACATCTCCAATATTGACTTGATAGCATCACGCAGATCTGGTGACTGTGGAGGCCATTTGAGTACAGTGAACTCATTGTCACGTTCATGAAGCCAGTCTGAGATGATTGAGCTTTATGACATGGTGTGTTATCCTGCTGGAAGTAGCCATCAGAAGATGGAGACACTGTGCTCATAAAGGGATGGACATGGTCAGCAGCAATACTCAGGTAGGCTGTGGTGTTGATGCTCAATTGGTACTAATGAACCCAAAGTGTGCCAAGAAAATCTCCCCCACACCATTACACCACCACTACCAGCCTGAACCATTGATACAAGGCAGGATAGATTCATACTTTCATGTTGTCAATGCCAAATTCTGACCCGACCATGCGAATGTGGCAGCGGAATTCGAGACTTATTAGACTAGGAAACGTTTTACCAATCGTCTATTGTCCAATTTTGGTGAGCCTGGCCCTTTTCCTCTGGCATCAACAAGGCATTTGCACCCACAGAACTGCCACTCACTGGATATTTTATTTTTTCGGATTCTTGTAAATCCTAAAGATGGTTGTGTGTGAAAATCCCAGTATTTCAATGTAAAGTGCTGTTATTTCTCTCCTATTCCAGCTCCTCCACTGGAAGTACCGGAATATCTGTGGCCAAGACCACGGTGGACAAATTACTGAAGGGGTATGACATCCGTCTCCGGCCAGACTTTGGAGGTACACATCATCTTTTCTTTAAACATAGAGTTACCTTACTATCATTGTTTATCTGGAGTAAACAGTGACCGGAGTATACCGTCTTGCAGCAATTCTAAAGCATTGGATATCCGATCATAAAAGTCCTGCTTCTGAAAGTTTCTCACGATGTGGTGCTTTTTGTTTTATGTTAAAGGTCTAGTGTGCTCCAGATACAAAACTGATCTAAACATGTAAAGCTTGCAGTTTGTCACTTCCGCCTAAATGGATTAACGTTTTTTTTTTTTTATGTCACCTCATACTTCAGTTACTCATCAAATCTTCCGACCAATCACATGCTCTCTAGTAACCGACATGCCCCGCCCCCTTCTTCTCATTAGCTTTTCATTTAATGCCTTTGAACTTAATCTCTCTCGCAGAGCTGTGGTAAAACTAAACACTATTAGGTATTTTTATAAAGGGGAGGGGCTACTCTACGCCCCGCCCTCTTTATTTTTCAATTGAAATGACATCAAACATCGAATAAAGGAAATGCATATTATAAAGCACTTCATGGGAAAATAAAAACGGTCTCATGTCAAGACTTTACATGAAGTGACAGTATGAAGAGAGAACAGTTTCAAGAAATTTCTGAAACACCTCATGGTTTAATAACGTCAGTTTCAAGGTTAGGCACATTGTACGAAAATATATATGTGTTTATATATTCGTCTTAGGGCATTTTATTCTTCTTTTTTTAAGTCTCTTTTCAATTTTGCAGTAATACGCTGGTATAACACTTTGAGAATGACAAGTAAAAACAGGCTACCAAAGATTTCGGGCACAATCTTTACAGCATTGGCCATGTGTATGAGGTACAAGTCATGCAGAGGGCTACGGCCATTTAAGCAGATGAGAACAACCTTCTTTATTCTAAGTTTTGTCTCCTGGTATCAGGCAGAAGGTCAGTGCTTAATTTGTGAACTGCGAGGTCCCGGAACAGATCGGGGTAACTGATCCCACATGATACCCGAGGATGTAGAGGTGTCACAGGGGTGGGGTGGGGTAGCAGGGCTGTGGATGGTGGAGGGGTGTCACAGACGTACTGTAAGTTAAGAGCCAGGCGGCGGGTGGGGTTTGGGGGTTGGTGGTGGTGTTGGTTATTGGTTGGAAAGTGAAAAGGGTTGGGGAGGCGTGGAAGTAAAAGTAAACAGCGGACAAGAGAGGAGAGCGGCTGAGGAAGGGGGGTTGGTAAAATTAGGTGCCGGACCCGGCATGTTCTGGCAAAAATTAAGCCCTGGAGAAGGTATACTATGTTCAGATGGGCTAGAACCAACAGATATTTGCATGCATTTGTTCCACCTGCAGTTGGGTTACTTAACAAGCTTCACGCTGTACTTGCTCATATACAGTTGAAGTCAGAATTATTAGCCCCCCTCCGAATTTTATTTTATTTTTTAAATATTTTCCAAATGATGTTTAACAGAGCAAGGAAATGTTCACAGTATGTCTGATAATATTTTTTCTTCTGGAAAACGTCTTATTTGATTTATTTCGGCTAGAATTAAAGCAGCTTTTAATTTTTTAAACACCATTTTAAGGTCAAAATTAAAATTAAAAAGCTATTTTTTTCACTTGTCTACAGAGCAAACCATCGTTACATAATAACTTGCCTAATTATTCTAGCCTGCCTAGTTAACCTAGTTAATCCTTTAAATGTCACATTAAGCTGAATACTAGTGTCTCGATTAATATCTAGTGTAATATTATGTACAATATTAGACAATAATTCAGCTGTACATTGGATATTCCTGTTCCTGAACATGTTTTAATTGGTAATTTTTTAATTAATATTTCACTTGATCCTGACTGATTTCATAGTTTACTGCTATTTCTATATTTGTGTTGATCTGTGTTGGGGGTTGCTGCTAACCAAATTGCCCCTCGGGGACAATCCAATCCAATCTAGTTATTAAAACTGTAAGGCAACTTGCTGCAGAGCTTTTTAAGTTGGCTCACAGTGGGTTAAAAGTTGAGTCAACTCATAAAAGCCTTAGGCTGCTTTCACCCCTGTGAATCGATTCAGTTGTCCTGAAACAGGGATTAAAATTGTTACATTGTTGCTCTTTGCGCTTGGAGCGGTTCGCTTTCACACGGCAACGTTTCTAAACGGACCAAAAGAGCTAAAACAAATCACGTGTGAGTAAACTCTCCTCACCTTGGTCAGAGTTTCATGGTTTATTTTGAGTCCCGCTGAGCTGTCAGGGGGGTGGTAGTGGTTTGGTGGTGTTTGACCGGGTACGTGCGACGTGTCTGAACAGCGAGGATGGATGCGGTGGGGAGGGTGCGCGACGTATTTGAGGACTGGAAGGGAGACGCGCGAATTCCGTGAGATTATCACTCGTTTGCGGGCATCCTGGAGTCTCTGTGTATTTGCGGGAGACTCACGCAACTTCCGGGAGACTTGGGATGTCTGGAATGAACTCCTGCCCTACTCATAATTCTCTCTTCATATAGCCGTATGCCTGTTACATATCCATAATACACTGTGATATAACCGGGCTGGGATCGTTTGCTTTCTTACCACAATCAATCCGCTCCAGAGTTTGTTTCAATTAAGCCGAGACCCCCTCATTCAAGCGTGTTCGGAGCGATTGTTTTGGCTTGGATCTGAGTGCGATGGGGTATATGCTGATACACTTCCGGTGACCTGTTATCGTGAATTTTTTTTTTTTTTATACTGCTCCTTTAACGGCATCGATGTTGTAATGTAATTCAAATACAATCAGTTAAACAGACTTTGGCATCCATTTAGTTGCTCAAGCGTAAAACAAGACAAAAAGCCGTTTGCTCGCACGCGACCGTCAGAATCGGCAGGCTAGCGCAGAAGCTCCATTGAATATACTGGGGTAAAATAAATGCTTATTATAAAGATGGCGGGGAAATTGTCATTTAATGCAGTGCCTCCTGGACAATCTGAGACCCACTTTATATCGGATATCATTCAGCTAGTGGAGATCGCTGATTTTGAAAGAAAACAGATCTTAAACGCGCAGATTTCGCATTGGCATACAATTCGCTGGAAACGATTAACCCTGATTACTGGCAAATTAAAAGTCCTATTAGCATGCTTCAGCATATACTGTATTGATGAATTCACATATGCCAAATAAATCGTGCTAACAGGGCAAATGAGAACAAAAGTCTGCGTGTAAAAGCACCCTTACAATACTGTTAGCTTAAATCAAACCCAGGCTCACTGTGGAAACGTAGTCCCGCGGACGTTTCTGGAGACTGCGGAATACGTCCCGGTGGGTACGTACGGCTGCAGTTTTTGTTTTTGCAAATCCACGAGAGGCCGCTGTTGTTTTTTGCACCTCAGACGCCTCTTGCGAGTGCGGTTCGCGACCGCGCTGTTTTTGTGTGAACCCACCAGAGGCTGCTGTTCGACTGACCGGATGATTGACTGGCCAATCGGCCGACCCGCCCTCCTTCTTCCCTGAACCCAACCGATTTAACCGATCAACCCGCCCGCCCGCTCGCTTTCCTAAACCCGAGCAACAGTTTACAAAAGCCGTCCAAAAAAATAAAAGCCCCGAAAAGCTACCGCGTTTTCGTATTTCACCGCGTTCTCACCCTGTCACGAAACTCGTTCACTTAATTTTTGGGATTCTGTTTTTGTCTTACCTGATTGCTGGAACCGCTCTTCCCCGGACTCGAAACCGGTCGCCGTGGTCAACTCCTCTCTGCATCTCAAGCCTGCCAACGTACACGGTGAGCTGAGTGGACAAACGGGTTGCAGCAGGGAAGCCCTCCACAAGGAGGTAAGGCAAGCGCGAAAGGGAACAGCGTCACACCGCCCCGCAGTGTTCGCTTGAAAAAAATAAATGCAGCCGTACATACCCCCCGGGACATATTCCGCTGTCTCCAGAAACGTCCGCGGGACTACGTTTTTAGAATGAGCTTGGGTTGCTTAAATCCCTGTTTATCTGGAGTAAAAGGTGACAGGAGTATATAGTCTTACAACTTCTTTCTGCGCTGGACATCAGATCATAAATGCGTCTGAATGTTTTCATTATTTTGGGTTTATTTGTGTTATTTTAAAGTCCTTAGTCACACTTTACAATGAGGTTTCATCAGTTAATGTATTTAATAACACAGATTAAGTATGAACGATACTTGTACAGCATTTATTAACATTTACTAATGCATTAAACTTAACTTGAGTCAAGTGTAAGGTGACACGGTGGCACAGTGGGTAGCACGATCGCCTCACAGCAATAAGGTCACTGGTTAGAGCCTCGGTCGGGCAAGTCGGCATTTCTGTGTGGAGTTTGCATGTTCTCCCTGTGTTGGTGTGGGTTTCCCCCACAAGTCCAAAGACATGTGGTACAGGTGAATTGGGTAGGCTAAAATGGCGTAGTGTATGTATGTGAATGAGTGTGTGTGGGTGTTTCCCAGTAATGGGTTGCGGCTGGAAGGGCATCCGCTGTGTAAAACATATGCTGGATAAGTTGGTGGTTCATTCCGCTGTGGCAGCCCCTGATTACTAAAGAAACTAAGCCGAAATGAAAATAAATGAATGAATGAGTCAAGAGCAGTTCTTGGGTTTAAAATTGAGTCAACTGTTTGTTATTTCCAGCGCAGTGTTGAGAGAAAACCAGAGGCTTTTTGAGATGGAAAGGCACTTTGAGCTTTTACTTCTTGTCTTTTTTTTTTTTGACCGCTCCTTTTCCCTATGAGAAGTAGTGTGTGTTGGTTGAGTTCTTACAAAAGCTGAGCACGCAGTTTCAGGTCGCAGCTCACGGTCCATATTTCTGCACACGTTCACATTGTTGAAGGACAACGCAATGCTTTCTAAAGCACAAAGTCTGGGAAAATGTTGTTTCACAAGTCAGCTTGTCCGGCTATTCATCACCAGGCTGCTGTTTGTCCCCTGATATTGCAAAGAAGCTGCAATAGAAGTCTGTCCTACCTACCTACTTACCTACCTACCTACCTACCTACATGTCTGTCTATCTGTCTCTCTATCTATCTATCTA